AGAGAAAGTGGGGGACTTCCGAGGAGGACTGTGCGACAGCATAAGTGGCCCTTACCCCAATCATCTCCTCTTTGTTTCTTCCCTCCTTCTTTCCTCTTTTATCTTCTTCTTCCTCTTTCCTCATAACAGAGAACTAGCACTTTCCCCCCTCTTCATCCCATGAAATGAGTACAGTAAAAATTTTGGGGTTTTCTATCATCTGGGTTTGCCTGGTCCCAGGACACCTAATACGTTTTTTAGAAGATGTCAAATGAAATTGTCCTGGATGTAGGAATAGCTTCTGAATCTTCCTGGTGCGATTCCAAGAAATAATAATGGAGTCGACTCTGGAAGGGCATCAGTAACCTTGAGGAGGGATTCCAGTCTACCCACTCCTCCAGTGACTTGCAGAAACCCTTCTGCCCAGCCTAGCCTTGGGCTGTCCAACCTGCCGATGACGCCACTGGCCTTCAGTGGGACAGCTGCAGCTAGCAGCAAGACACTCCAGAAATGCCAGTTGTAATTGGAAACTTTATTTTCAAACACTTCCCACAGCATTCGTGCCTGGTGAGAAGTGCTTTTTTTTTTTTTTTTGCTGTGGGACTATTCAGGTGGCTCCAGAGAGATCTGAAGCCAACTCCCCCATTTGTGGAAGTTAGGATGAGAGACACTTCCCAGAGTGTTGAAACTTCATGTCAATGGGGCACATGACCCTGGGAGAAATTCCTAGGCAATAGTTTTCAGGGTCTTTTTTGTTGTTATTTTATTTAAAAAATAGGTTTTCTTCTTTATTTACCTATCCTTGATACCTAATCTTCTCTGTGTAGCTGGTAGACATAAGAGAAATGAAGGCAGAGAGAAGCATGGAACAGTTTGGGGAATGGAATACTCTGTGGAGGCATAATAGCAACCCTCATCAGTCTGAAGGCCTGTCAAGGGGAGGAGAATCAGCCGTTCTCAACCTGTGGGTCGTGACCCCTATGGGGGTTGAACGACCCTTTCACAGGGGTTGCCCAATTCATAACAGTAGCAAAATGACCGTTATAAAGGAGCAACGAAAATAATTTTATGATTGGGGGTCACCACAACATGAGGAACTGTATGAAAGGGTCGTGGCATTAGGGAGGTTGTGAACCACTGTGTTAGATTATTCTGTGTGTCCATGAGAAGAGAATTATAGCTGGCGGTAGGCATAGGGGACAGGGTTGGGGGGGAGTGGGTGGCTTGCATTTATGCCCTGACTATAGGGTAGTCAAGGGTGTTTGCTCCCTCAGATGGGAAAGACAGTTTAGGTTTTGGGAAATAACCTAAACTGGTATAGGTTCTAACCCATTATGCTACCAGTTACTGACCATTTATGGGGCTGGGGAAGCTCTTTGGTAGAACTCTTCCCTTCCATGGGGGAGACTCAAGTTCAATTCTGGACTAATGCCCCTCAAGTGGAGCCATTCATCAGCAGCCACCCAGTGGCAGCTTGCATGTTGTTATGACGCTGAACCGGTTTCTGCAGTTTCCAGACTGAAGATAGACTAGGAAGAAACATTTGGCAATCAACTTCCAATAATCTGTAAACAACAAGACCAATAACCCCATGGATCACAAAGGTTTGATCTTTATGTAATCATGTGGATGGCTCTAGACAGGGCAGTATTTCATTTTGTTGTGTGTGGGATCAATGCGAGACAGTGACTGACTGGAGAGCCACGGATAACATGCCAGGCAGTAAATGGTGATCATAAAGCAAGCCATTTAATTCCCACCACTTTCCTATTGAATGGGAACTATCAGTACTATCATTTCATGATGGAGGAGATTGATGCCAAAGTGCCCAGTTGTCCAAGGTCCTGAAGCTAGTAAGCGACAAAGTCTGAATTTGATCTGAGGCAATGTGCCCCTCTCCCGCTCTTAACTACCAGGGCCTACTTCTTATTGATGTTCTAATTGTGAGTTGAGCCCACTGGGCCCTTTCTGTCGCACGTTCTCTCTGACTTCGTTTCATTATTGCCTTACCTGCCTTAGTTATGCTCCCCCCTGCCATTGAGCCCATTCCCATGGACTCACAGCCACCCTCTGCAGGGTTACCAAGGCTGCCAATCTTCACTGAAACAGACAGCTTCATCTTTCGCCTGTAGAGCAGTAGGTGGTTGAATCGCCAACCTTCTAGTTAGCAGTCCAATACTTAACTGATAGTGGCTTCTATAAAATTGTTGGAAAGATCCCACATTGGAAAAACTTGCTCAGAAATGACAATTGTTTACCTTCAACTTGGGTCCCTCCAACCCCCCATCACTGTTCATCTCATTTAAGGGAGACTATCCCATGAGAGTTGGCATCTACAACTGGAATAACTCAGCTCTGGTGGAGGGGTCCAGGAAGGAAAAGTGGCCACTTATAGGAAGTAAGGGTTGGGTGTTGGCTTGGAGGAACTGAAGACATTTGAGGTTCCATTCAACAAGGCAGTAGGAGCATGTGGCCCTAGACAGAACTCCACCAGGGTAGAGATGGATGCTGCCAAGTCAGAGCATGCTTTGGCTGGCAGGCATTGGCATCCTGGCCCTGTTCGCCACCTGTCTGAATGGTCACAGCTGCCTCGGCCTGTTCTGTGAGCCTTGCTTCACTCCCTTCTTCAGGCGGGCTTACCCACAGCTGTAGGATTAAGTTCTCCAAAATACTGATTTCATGAAGTCACTCCTTTGAGTGGATTTCCTTCACACTCAACCCCCACGCCCAGGCCTCTGAGCCCAGCTTTCCTTATCACCCTTCTCTTCCTCATTTACCCTCTATGAATTCCCCCGTACCCAGACTGGACTGCCCAGTTTGCTCCGGCATCCCTTCTGGACAGACTTTATCTTATCGAGGGTTCCCTCCTTCACCCAAGCGCCCATTCAGAGGCTCAGCTCATTCATCACTCAGCACTCGTTTATGATGAGACTAAGTGTATGCCAGGAAAAGGCCGAGACACACTCAGCTGGTCCCTTATGCTGCAGAACTCTAGGTCTAGGAAAGTGTTGTGTGCAAAACACCTTTAATCAGCACACGAGCATCCTCTAGGGCAGTGTGCACTAGAATCCCTTCTTCCAGGAAGCCCTCCGTGAGCGTCACTCTCACGGGAACTCGCCCCCCTCTGAGGAGCTGAGATCACAGGGTCAGTTCTCCTCTTTCACGCAGCAGACGGCAGTTTTCAAAATAGCGGTCTCAGCTCTATAGAAATGGAGGAGAAAGTACAGAGTTTCAGCATCTATATCTCTTTATAGGTAGTGGATTATGCCTTGGACTGCTAGCTGAAAGATCAGTAGTTCAAACTCATCAGCCACTCCTCGAGAGAAAGACGAGGCTTTCAGCTGCTGGAAAGATTGACAGTGTCAGACACCCACAGGGGCATTTGACTCATGGTCTCTAGGAGTCCTAATTGACCCGATGGCAGGGATTTTTAAAAAGTGGATTGCGATAAGAGATGTAAGAGCCCCCAATAAAAGTATTTAATAACAAAGGTGATATATCTCTATGTGTCTCACTCCACTGTACATTTGTTCCAGTTGCTGAACCAATATTGACACATTATCATTAACTGAAGTATCTACTTTGCCTTAGGGTTCATTCTATGTGCTGTACAGCAGTATGGATGTAGACTGACTCATCAAATACCATTACTGCGTCATGCTGAGTAGTTCTCCAGCCCTCAAAGTGCCCTGCACACTCCAGGCGTCCCTCTCTCTTTTTCTATCTTATTTTTTTTAATTAAAAGATCACTTTATTGGGGGCTCTAACAACTCTTATTACAAGCCATACATCAGGCATATTTTTACATATGTTACCATCATTCTTTTCTAGACACTTTCTTTTTTTTCTTTTTATTTATTTATTATTATTTTTTTACTTTCTATTGAGCCCTTGTTATCAGCTCCTCTTTTACCCCCTCCCCTTCCCCCCTTGTGACCCCTTGATCGATTAGAAGTTATTATTATTTTCATGTCTCACACTGACCGCTGTCTCCCTTCCCCCATGGTTTCTGTTGTTCTTCCCGTAGAGGGATGTGTGTGGTTGTGTGTCAATCATTATGATTGGTTCCCCCTCCCTCCCTTCCTCTTCTCCCCTTCTCCCTACCCTTCTGGAATCACTATTCCTATTCCTGCTGCTGGATTACGTGTGTCATGAGCTGTTATCTATTATCTGTACCTGTGTACGTGCTCCGGTCTAGTCTGAAGTGAGAGGCAGCACTGGGGTCATGATAGTGGGGGGTGAGGAAATCTCAAGGAACCAGAGGAATATTGTGTGTTTCATTGGTGCTTTACTGCGCCCTGGTTGACTCATCCCTTCCTGGTGTCCCTGTGGGGGAATGTTCCATTGTCTACAGATGGGCTTTGGGTCTTTGCTTCAACCCTCCTCATTCTCAACAATATGGCGTTGTTTTGTTTGTTTATTTCTCTCTTTTTTCATATGGACTTCTGGAAAGCACTGGTCTCAGTTTTTACAGTTTTGCCTTTTCTATACTGTCATATGGTTAGACTCATACAGTATGCAGTATTTTTGGACTGATTTTTTTCACTTAGCATTATCCATTTAAGGGTATCCATGTTTTTTCATAGCCTGACATCTCATTTCTTTTGTTCTCTGGCTCCATTGCATGGATGCCCCACCATTTGTTGATCCATTCACCTATTGAAGGACATCTTGGTAGATTCCAATTTTCATGCGTTATGAATGAAGCTGCTTTAAACATGTACTTGCAGGTTTTCTGCATGAATAAAAGCATTCAATTCATCTGGATAAAATTGTTCTTCTCTTTCAGTTACTTATTTCTGCCTGCCAGTTCAGTCTTTTTTTTAACAGTTTTATTGGCACATTATGCACACATCATACAATTCAATAGTTCAATCGTATCAAGAAGAGTTGCACACAATCAATTTTGAGAACATTTTCTTCTTCCTTATACTGATAGTTATTCACGTAATCATTGTGTTTTGTAAGTGTGGCAAAATATGCGCAACAAAACATTCTACAACTCAACATGTATAATTCAGAAAAATGTGGACTGCTTCACGCATTTGCATGTCGCCCTTGCACAGGGGCCATACTAATCTTCTCTGTAACACTCCCCTTCTAGTACATGTGCTGACAAAGTAAGCTCATAGCATCATATTTTTTATTGGTAGGATCTCTTGCATTTTATCCTCTAAAAAACACACCACCCTGCCTGGCAGTGTACAAGACTTTAGTAAGAGAAATGTGTTTAGATGGTATGTTTACATCACTTATTCTCGGCTTCTGCTGGGACTAGGACTATCTGGTTGGACTATCTATGAGGTGGGAGTTGGCTGGAGTTAGAAAGGCTAGATGAAAAGGCTGAACAGGGTCTGGGCACAAACGGCAATTGAGTTCGTAAGAGCAATGTGTTTTCATTGTGCCGTGCTCCAGAGTACGCTTATATCCACAATTCCACTTGAGTCTCAGAATGACTGTAAGTGGTGGGCAGGGGAGATGGGCTGAGCCCCCTTTGACTGAGTGGTAAGTGAGTTTCTCATAGGCCCACCAGGACAGTGCCAGAATTGGGTCCGAGTTCTTGCCATGTGTGTGCCACATAACTCAGGGATACTGGGCGCCGTGGTTCCATCACCCTTTGTGACTATCTGTATGTGAGAGTGGGTTGCAGAGTGTGAAGGAGTTATGCGTCAGTGGAAGGAAGAGGAGATAGAGGAGGTTTGCTATGGACTCGGAAGGTACATGGAGCAACTGGGTACCCTCCAATTTTTCTCATCCAGACACTTCTACTCATTCTCTGCCTCGGTGGATACTGGGAATATCTGGAGGGTGTAAGGTTGTAAGCGATGATGGGATTCAGTTGGCTCCCAGTGGGTGAACAGAACTGATACCTAAATTTTTGTTGAGTTTGGTGAACCGGTTGTTAAAATGGCACTTCTAATCAGGGTTCTCTCTTAGGTGGGTGGTTGGGGAGCCATCCAATGTGGAGATCAGAAATTTTGCATTCTGTACAATTTTAAAACCTTCATCTGTGCAGCAGCATATTCTATGCTCCTGCAATAATGTGCATTCCGTCATAGGTAGAACAAGTCAGAACTACGCTTATACTGTAATGCTTATGTATTCATTTCATAAAATTTGTTACACTTTCGATGAAATACTACATTTTTATTCCCTTGCATTTGTTACTTCAGCAGACAAACATACGACATAAAGAGAAAAAGTGTCGAACCACCAGAGTGACAAGCTGTAATTCCTTTCAGCTTTGTGCTAATCCCCAACTTCCTATGAGATATTATGAATGAATTATGCAATTCCTGAAAGTGTTCAAAGAGCTAAAAATATTGTCAGAACAAGTGCTGTGAGTTCAGCAGAAGTGGAAAGGGATTTTTCGAAGATTAACATAATATGTTCAGAAAAGAGCAGTCACCTGTTTCTAGCATATCAAGCACAATATCTGTTTTCTAATTGGCCTCTCTCTAGAGGAACAGTATCCTACTCCTACAGAGAAAAAATGATTAAGGATAAATCGCATAGCTGATGATGCTCAGATTAAAGCAAAAAATATTGTAAGTGAGGATGCCAATCACGAAGCAATATAGCTGTATCTTAAATAACAGTTTAATTTGGGGGGGGGAATATTAATATTTTTTCATTAGTATCTTAAAATCCTTTCTTATAACTGATCTATTTTTGTGTGCCTCTTTTATTGTTCTTATTTATTAACTATATGAAATACCGTATATACTGGAGTATGAGCTGAATTTTTCAGCACATTTTAATTAATTAATTTTTAATTTTTTGCTTTCTTGATTTTCTTTTTTTTCCCAATCATTTTATTGGGGGCTCATACAACTCTTATCACAATCCATACATACATCAATTGTGTAAAGCACATTTGTACATTCGTTGCCCTCATCATTCTCAAAACATTTGCTCTCCACTTAAGCCCCTGGCATCAGGTCCTCATTTTTCCCCTTTCATCCCCTCTCCCTTTGAACCATTAATAATTTATAAATTATTATTTTGTCATGTCTTACACTGTCCAACATCTCCCTTCACCCACATTTCTGTTGTCCGTCCCCCAGGGAGGAGGTTATATGTAGATCCCTGTAATTGGTACCCACTTTCTACACCCCCCTCCCTCACCCTACTGGTATTGCCACTCTTACCACTGGTCCTGAAGGGATCATCTGTCCTGGATTCCCTGTGTTTCCAGTTCCTATCTGTACCGGTATACTTCCTCTGGTCTAGCCAGATTTGTAAGGTTGAATTGGGATCATGATATTTAGGGGTGGTGGGTGGTGGTGGTTAGGAAGCATTTAGGAACTAGAGGAAAGTTATATGCTTCAACATTGCTACACTGCACCCTAACTGGCTTGTCTCCTCCCCACAACCCTTCTTTAAGGGACGTCCAGTTGCCTACAGATGGGCTTTGGGTCTCCACTCCACACACTCCCTCATTCACATGATTTGATTTTTTGTTCTTTGATGCTTGATACCTGATCCTATCAACAGCTTGTGATCACACAGGTAGGTGTGCTTCTACCATGGGGGCTTTTTTGCTTCTGAGCTAGATGGCCGCTTGTTTACCTTCAAGCCTATAAGACCCCAGACACTATATCTTTTGATAGCTGGGGACCATCAGCTTTCTTCACCACATTTGCTTATGCACCCGCTTTGTCTTCAGCGATTGTGTTGGAAAGGTGAGCATCATGGAATGCCAATTTAACCGAAAAGTATTCTTGCATTGAGGGACTACTTGAGTGGAGGCTCAATGTTCATCTCCTACCTTAATACTAAACTTATACATATATGCACAGAGATCTATTTTCCCATCCTCATATATAAATATATTTCCATATGTACATGCCTGTATTTAGACCTCTATAAATGCCCTTTGCCTCCTAGCTCTTTCCTCTATTTCCTTTGACTTTCCTCTTGTCCCACTATCATGTTCAGCCTTCATTTGGGTTTCAGCAATTCCTCTTGGTTACATTATCCTTGATTATGCCCTCTACCAGGCCTCTTGCACCCTCCTCACCACCGATTTGTTGTTCCCTTGTCCCTGGGTTTGTTAAAACCACTACCTTTCCCTCCCCCTCCCCCACTCCCATGTCCCCCCAGAACCATCGGTCCTGTTTGATTTCTCCTCCAGATTGTTCATCCAGCCTATCTTATTTAGACAGACCTGCAGAGATAATACCATGCACATAAACAAGACAGAGCAAAACTAAGAAACAAAAGAAAACAAAACAACAACAAGCCAATGACAAAAACAACGACAAGCCAATGACAAAAACAACGACAACAGCAAAACAAAAAAGAAAAGCTTGTAGTTAGTTCAAGGACTGTTTGTTGGCCTTTAGGAGAGTTTTCCAGTCGAGTCTGTGGGGCGCCAAGCCCTGGCCCCAAAGTCTATTTTAGTAGTCCCTGGAGACTTCGTTGCTCTGTTCCCCTTGCTGTTCTGTTGCATGCCCTTAGTGTTTTGTCTCCGTGTGGTGGGATCAGATCCAGCACAATTCCTGCACTGTGTCTCCAGTGTTGTCCCCCATAGGGCTATGGGTCAGTGAGGGATGTTGTGTCTCATAGTGGGGCCGGCCATATGGCCTTCTCTGTGGATTGGCTGCTCTGAGTGGGAATATGGTCCTCAAGGCTTGGTGGGCCAGGATGTGCTGCATTCTCTCTTCCTCCTCCTTCATTTGCTCCCGTGTGCTCTGATCAGACATATCCCTCTCCCTGAGCTGCAGCTTCAGTGCTGTCCTCTGAAATAAATTATTCTGGGGGGAGGGGCAGGTGTCCACGTAGTTGAGATTGGGCCGACCCCTCAGACCTCTTCAGCACATTTTAACTGCAGTTTTTGTGGTAAAATTAGGTGCCTCAGCGGATATTCGATTCAGCTTATACTTGAGTAGATACAGTAATAAATTACCTTTGGTATGTTTTTAATACCTAAAATTGGCAGCGACCAGCCTTTAAATTATTTGAATCCCACCATTGGGTGTAAGGTTGGAGATGGCTGTGGTTGGAAAGGATGCATGAGAAGAGCAAATGCTGAACAGGGTCTGGGCACAAAGAGCAATTAAATAACTTGTCCCTGGACTAATGTGGCTTCTTGGAAAGATGAACACGTTAGAGAGGAGGAAAAGCTCCGTGCCCCACCATTCTGAACCCTTCACAATGACACGGTTCTTTAATATAGTTAGTACGTAGTAAGAACACTGACGGAAAGTAGAATTCCAATTCCCCTTCACTCTACTGACTTTCAGACTTCCTGTACCTGGGAAGGTTCTCCCTCTATGAGTACTAGCTGGCTTCAAAGCTTGAGCTTTTAGAAGCTTGGTTGTTTGGAGGCATCTATGCGATATATCTATATCTATCTATATATGTATATCTATACCTATGAACAAAATGTGTTTCTTTAGCCCTGGCTTGAGCCAAAAATAGTTGAACTTTTTGAGGGGTTCAAGTTGACAAGCGAAAATTCAGTTTTGGGCTAAGAGCAAGAATGGAAACTTTCAGAATATAAGAGTAAATGCCTCCCTTCCCCCAATCCTTTCTGGACAAGGGATACTAAGAAGTTTTGATAGCAGTTTGGTGTAAACCTCAACTATGAAGATTATTAAAGTGTTGCTTTTTTTGTACTATGGTCCTTATTAAAATGATGTCTTTATTGAAGTGTCCCTCTCAGCACAACTCAGGACACATAATACAGGAGAGACTCATGCTATGGATGACAAGTCAACCCTTGGACTAGTCTATGATGAAACTCATTTGCCTTAGAGTCAGCTCAGCTCAGGGAAACCCCACTTATGTCAGAGTAGAACTTTGCTCTATAGGGTTAATTTCTCTTTTTTTGGGAAACACATTGCCAGGCTTTTTTTCTGAGGTATCTCTGGGTGGGCTTGAACCTCTAATCATTGTGTTGGTAGCAGAGCATTTTAACTCTTTGCTGCACTCTTGGAATAGAAAATGATATAGTCATGAAAATGAATTGAAGCTGCAGCTTCTATAAAGATGGTTTCATTACATAATATGCAGGTTAGTATTCCAACTAATTAATTACTAAAGCTCTAGATTGAATAGTGGCAAATGTCCAGGGAAAACTGCCAGGACCAGGGTATTACATTGACAAGTAAAAATAAAGAT